ATATATATATTAAATAAGTTTATTTAACACTTAAGTGATATTCTACTAGGAAGTATACACAGACTGACCATGCAGCTGATGGGCCCATAAACAGTGACTGAACTGTTTGTTGAAAAAGATATCAACCTGTATATTTCTGTTTACACTTCACGGTGTTACATCTTGACTGGCCCATAGTGTGAACTGCTTTGTTACCAGGCTTGCTGTCTTGACAATATGTCGCCACTTGGGAGGCAGAACTTCAAAGATCACATTTTCTCATGTAGGTTTCTTTGTTGTTGCACGATGTTTACTTCTGTCTGTTAATTCTGTCACATCCTTCAGTTACAAATCAACTGGAGGAGAACCAGCCTGCTTTGTATAGATCTCTCACTGCATATTCATTACTTGTTTTAGGGAGGAACTTAAATTATTTTGTTTATATTTTGTCTGATTGTGTTGATGCCAGTAATAACTGTTGCAAAAAAAAAAAAACTATTTCAGTTTGATGAGTAAGTTGTAGTTCAGACATTCCCTTCTGTATGTCAGCCAGTATTTGCCCTCGAGCCCATTTTGTAACTGTATTGTGTGCTGGAGATCTGTGTTATCACTGTATCGCTGTGAGTGTGTGTGTATGTGTGTGTCACATGTACAAAGATGTCCTGCCAATATTCATGTACATAAAGCCTAAATATAGAATGAGTAATCCCTGTGTCACCCTGGGTGTCATGTTCTTTTGCTGAACAGTTAACATCACAATCATGGTTTGAGGATGGACTAGCACACTGCACGGTTTGTGTGAACGCAAACACTTGTCGCATGAGCTTAAGACGATTGTCAGAGTTTGATCCTGGAAATGATGAGTTACAAAAACAGCTAACAGAAAAGACAAAAAAGAGAGAAGCTGTAATTATTGTTGCATCATAAAAAATAACTACATTCAGCCATTGGCAACAATACCAACAACATAAAATTCAGTTCAAAAATACTTTATTGATCCCAAAGGGAAATAAATTGTTGTTCTAGCTCATCATCCTGTTTTCATTAAGAGTTGTTCTAGATGCTGATGGCTTTGGTCAAGAAGGATCTCTTGTAGTGGTCCATCCCACAGCAGACCTGAAAAAACTGGCTGCAGATGCCGATCCATCCACCCAGACCCAGCAGACCTCTCGGCCCTCTTGGGCAGCAGGACTGCCTGACTGCCAGGCAGAACTCCTCCCCGAGCGATACCATTTCTCTCAGCAGTTTGCCGAGTGTCTCATCACTGCGGGCTTAACTGAAGGTGCCAGGAAACGTTCTCGATCTTTCTGCTGTCAAGACCTCTGCGGTCAGGCATGTGAGCACTGGTAGATGGGAATTCATCCATAACACCTCCTTTTCAACTCATTTGGGATTTGGGGCTGTAGTTGAGGTATTATTTGAGCTTTAGAGATGTAAATCAGCAGCTCCCAGCTGTAGAAAACCACCTTGTTGTCATGGTTACGCATCATAACAAATGTCCAAAAGTAAAACGATTTCAGTAAAAATCCTTCCAGCGGCACAGCATCTGATACCAGAGGAAACAATCATCTGATAAAAAGTGATTAACATCCAGAAATAAGAGTAATTAAAGTTTTCAAAGCAAAATCTAAGAATGTAAGAGCTACTCCAACATGCAGCCATCTTGAGCGGCACAATTCTGGAACTAAAATTTACAAAATAAAAATTTCAAATTCAATTAAAAAATACTTTATTAATCCCAGAGGGAAATTAAATGTAACTCATCATCCTGGTTTCATTAAAGAGTTGTTATAGATGCTGACGACAGCGGGCAGGAAGGATCTCTTGTAGCGGTCTGTCCTACAACAGATTTGAAGAAGCCTCTGACTGAAGACACTCTGTTGTTGTATGATAGTCTGATGAAGAGGATTCTGAGAGTTGTATATAATGTTATTCATTTTATGAAGAATCCTTCTTTTTACAATCATCTCCAAAGGTTGTAGAGGAGTCCCCAGAACCGAGCCAGCCTTCTTTATGAGCTTGTTGATCTTTTTAAGGTCAATTGCTATGGTTCTGCTCCCCAGCAGATGATGACAGAAGAGATAGCACTATCTACAACAGACTTATAGAAGATATGCATGACAAGAACCAGATTTAGGGATTCGAACCAGATCACAGACAACAGGAAGGTTTAAAATATTTATTGATAAACAGCTTCTGGTGGAGGTCTGAGTCCTTGGGCCAGCACGATCTGAAGAGACATGAAGGTTAGTGAATTAGTTAAATGGCTTTGGTTTGATTGTTCAGTTTGTTCACCTTCGTAAACAGGTGAGGAAGGATTTTCTTATGCCCCTTTTTCATTAGTACCTGTAGCACCAGTACAGCACGGCTCTACTCTACTCGGTACGGTACAGGTTGTGTTTCCATTATGCTTTCAGTACTGGTTCCAGAGGGCGGGGTTCAAATTGACGTCACCATCTCTCACCAGCTGGTGGCGTTGAGAAGTTGAAACCGTTTTCAGTACAGGTTGAGAATTTGTTATTTTGAAGTTGTGTGTATGTATGTATGCATGTATGTGTGTATGTGTATGTGTATAAATATATATATATATAAATATATATATATATGTATATATATATATATGTATGTATATATGTATATATGTATATATGTATGTATGTATATATGTATATATGTATATATATATGTATGTATATATGTTTATATATATATGTATGTATATATGTATGTATATGTATATATGTATGTATATATATATATGTATATATGTATGTATATATATATATGTATATATGTATGTATATATATGTATATATGTATGTATATATATATGTATATATGTATGTATATATATATGTATGTATATATATGTATATATGTATATGTATATATGTATGTATATGTATATATGTATGTATATATATATATGTATGTATATATATATGTATATATGTATGTATATGTATATATGTATGTATATATATATGTATATACATATATATGTATATGTATATATATATATATGTATGTATATATGTATATATATATATATATGCATATATGTATATATATGTATGTATATATGTATATATGTATGTATACATATATATACATATATATACATATGTATACATATATATGTATATATATACATATATATATACATATACATACATATGTATATATATATATATATAT